ACACACAATCACACGCATATTATTTATACACTCATACACACACACTTACACACGTCCAAACACATCCACACACACACACACACACACACACACACACACACACACACACACACACACACACACACACACACACACACACACACACACACACACATACATACATACATACACACCCACTTACACACTTACACATACACTCATCCACACATCCACACCCACACACATTTATTATGTTGTACACTCATACACGCACTGACACACATAAGGGGGCTCTCGTGGCCAAGACGTTTAGATGATCACCTCTCATTCAAAGGTCCCGCGTAGGAATCTGGGTTGCGATTGAAACAATTTTTTTTCTAAAATTGTCTCCTTTCACCCTCGTCCCTGCTCTCAGGCAATTTTCTGTCGTCTGCTTTTGTCTCCACTTTCTGCTCCCACCCCTTCACCTCCTTTGCCCCCTCATCTGGGCTCCTGCCTGACTCTTTCGGCTGCCTTTCTACTGCTGCTCCTTCTTACTGCTGTCTTTCAGCCACACCCCTGATCTTATGGTAGGAAAGATCTACGCCTAGCCTTCTCGGACAGGGGCGAAAAATCTCGGAGGTCCCTTGTGCAATATGCGCACGTTAAAGCTAAAGATCCCTTGGTGGTCTAAAATCGATAAGAGTAGACATCGGCCACACCTGGGTAAAATCAAAATGTCCTACCAACCTAAACTGTTTAATGTGTCCCGCGCGCTCATATGACCTTATGCAATTGCGAGAGCCGTAAAAAAACAACAACAACACACACACACACACACACACACACACACACACACACACACACACACACACACACACACACACACAAATTAAAATACATTCTCCAAAACGGGGTCTTCTTCTTTTTTTTTAAACAAAGGTTACACTAAGTAAAAGCTTTCATGTAGGCCTACTACATGTATTTCCACTTCTTAACATCCATGGCTTTATGAGAGTAAGGTACGCCTAACTCTTTGTTGTTCCCGCATCCGATCCGGACATTGGGTATTGCCTGGGCCTTCGGCATATTGTGGTAGGCCTAGGGTGGCCAGTTCCTTTCCACGCCGCCTTTTCTTCCCCAACTCGAAGTCAGGTACCCATTACTGCTGGGTGAGCAGGAGGGGGCGAAACATTTTTAATTACATGTGTATTTTGGATCATCTTGATGACACATATACCATCAACTTGGTCTGGAATAAATTTATATTCAGAGCCCTGCTAAACTACACACTTACACGACACACTCACACACGCACGTACGCATGCACACACGCACTCGCACGCACTCACACGCACGTACACGCAAACACACACACACGCACATAAACATACACGCTCTCACACTCACACACACAAACATACACACTCTAATAATTATTCCCCCCCCACACACACACACACGCGCAAACACAAGCAAATGCACACACACACACACACACACACGCACACACACACACACACACACACACACGCACGCGCGCAATCACACACACGCACACACGTACACAAATACAGACAAACACACACATACACACGCAAAAACAAACATATGCGTGCGTGCGCGCGCACACACACACACACACACACACACACACACACACACACACACTCATACACATTACGCACACTCACACCCACACTGCAGGCATACACAAAGGCATAACGCACAGTCTGCCGTCATGTTCAGCATTAGGCCCTTCAGCAATATTATGCTGTTTTTACACTTTTACCTGAGAGCCAAAAAGCTGAATGTCGTTAGATCTACCAAGAAAGAAAAAAAACAAAAACAAAAACAAAACCTCTCCGCAAACATTCCAAGTCAATAATACTACCAAGAATACAAATTTGACAATAACTTCTTATTATCTTCAAAGTAAATGTGTTCTTGTTAACAAACTAATGTTGGGTTTTTTTTGTTGTTGTTGTCGGTTGTTGTTGTTGTTGTTGTTGTTGTTGTTTTTTGTTGTTTTTTTTTTTGGGGGGGGGGGGGGGGTTGTGGGGGGTTCTCCTTCAGAATTGTAAAACCTGCATTCAGTACTTTAAAAAATTACGGCAGCATTAATTACATAGAGGAATATCGACAATAATAACTAGTGCATTCCCCAAAACGTTTAAACAAAATTGTTATGGTCAAAGGCTACACTAAATTATAGTTTCATGTAGGCATAGGTCTATTATTACTATTTACGCTTTTGTTAGCGCCCGTGCCTTAACGAGAGCACTCTTTGTTCATTGTCGGTTATTAAGTTATTTCAGAGTATCTTTGTGACAGATACTCCATCTATGAAACAATGGTTAATAATAACAATAAATTATAGATCTTGTACTGGCGTTTCAAATAGCACGGGGGCTATTCAGAACGCGGCGTTGCAAATAGCGCTTGCCTAAATAGTAATAGTTATTCTTTTTTCACAGACCAGGGCTTGTTTTGATGAGCACTGGTGGACTTTTCATACATTTTTTAATGTGGCCAATAAACATTCTGAGCACTATAACACACACTTGCGCACGTGACGTGCACACGTACATCCACACTCAACTCCCCCTCTCCCTCCCCCTTTCTCCCCCCCCCCCCTCTCTATCTCTCTCTATTTCTCCCTCTCTCTCTTTCTCTCTCTCTCGCTCTCTTCTCTCTCTCTCTCTCTCTCTCTCTCTCTCTCTCTCTCTCTCTCTCTCTCTCTCTCTCTCTCACACACACACACACACACACACACATGCACGTACACATCTATCTTTAAACTAAATAGTACACCCCAATCGGTTGTATCCTTGGTAACGAAGGGCGTACTGGAATCCGGAACAGGAAATGAGCTGCTATACGGAGTAGCCTAGGTAATTTTTACAACCAACCAGTAATCAGTCAGCTCTCTGGCCAACCATATTACGAGCCGCAAGTCGAGACAGATTTATAATTTCCGAGGGGAACAGGTAAACTCTTTATTTGAACCTTTTTTATTTTGTAGATTTTCGTACTTTCTGTTGTAGATCTAGATCTAGATTTAGATCGTGACATAGATCTAGTAGATGTAGACGTCTGGATACTCATATAGATCTAGATCTAGATCTAGATCTAGATCTATATCTAGATTCTAGATCTAGATTCTAGTCCAACGCAAGGCCTTGACACATTAGATCTTATGATTTAATGGAGATGTTTGGATCATTCTGAATGGGCAGTCTTTGTTGGGTTTCGTTACATTTTGAGAAAAACGCCAGCCATTGTTCGTGTGTGTTCGTGTAAAACCCAGCCCATGATAGCAGTATGTCACTTTGTTGAATTGAAAACGAAATTTGTATGACTGCTAGATCTAGATTTTAGATAGATCTACTCTATATGTCCATGTTTATTTATCTAAGAAATTTTATGGAGCCTTATCACCTTGAGCAACAACAGCAGTACTTTCAGCTCAAGGGAAATACCGCAGAAAGTAAGAACACCCAGTTTAGCAAGTTACTTCCTTTGGGAAAAAAAATTCATCAATGGAGACAACCTTATTAAAACTATTCTCAGGTAGATCACAAAGAGTTATTTTCCTTGAATTGTTTTCATCACTACTTGAAATTGTTCAATGAGACAGAAGCAACCAGAGCAAATCACTCAGGTCGTAGAAATACTTCTTTATACTTGAGCAAAGAGTTCAAGACAGAAGTTTGAATGAGAGCTTTAGAAACATGATAGATTTTTTGAAAGCCTACACCCCTCATGAATATTCATATCACTCTCTCTTTGACAACACATTAGCCTTTTCTCTGAAAAGAAAATAGTGGAGGTTTTCTGATATCCCCATTGGCACAACTTAGATAATTTAGAAAGCTGGCTTTGATCCTGCTTATGTCCTAGGGTAGAGACTGAGATACTCAATCAAAATTCTCCGTTGTGCAATGGCAAAGAGCCTAGTTACTTTACCACAGATGCTGTTGCATAGCCTTTGTTGTCTTCAATATTCATACAGAAATGATGAATTTTACATGGGAAAATTAAAATGTTAGGCTGTGTCCCAAAAGGAAAGTAAGGTATCACTGTCTCAACTTTTTGCATGCACATATTTCAACTTTGTGGGTGTATATGTGAGGCCAGTTTCCATTTTTAATTGAGTAAATAATGTGTCTTGAAGAGTATAAATAAGTTTTTGATTTTGATGCTTTTTTGTTGGTCACAGCGCCGAATCAGCGGTCGTTTAGTTTCGCCAGGCCGTACGCTGCTAGGTCAGCGAGACCGGGGTCAGCTGCCGGTCAGTCTACCTGCGCTCACTCCACGCGCGGAGTTACATACCACGGCAATTTTACACACTTTTGTTTCAACGCTCACAAATGAAAGCAGGGTTATCAATATACACATAGTGTTCCATCTTTGAGTTTCTTCTTTCAATGTGCAGTTTGTGAAAACGCAACGAAGATATCTAGTATAGTTTTTTAACTGCACGAGATCAAATACAGCCGTTTTATATGTGGTAGTTAAGGAAATATGCACCGAATTAAAAGTTATGTAACTACCAAAGTGCGGGAATAAACTCATTAAAACTCGCTCAGAATAAAGACAATTAATGTGGGTTCTACTTACCAAAGGACATCGTTGTTGGAAGATTAGTAATCCACATTTTTGCATTTTTGTTAACAGCCAAATTCGTCGGGCTTGTGATGAAATTCTCCTTACAGTATCCTTCATTAAATTAATGACACAGATCTCTTTACACATTTTATACAGTAGATCTATACGCTTATCTATGGCGCCGTTGTTGTTTTCTCGGTGCCTGCAATGAAGATTCTCTCTGGAGCAAATTAATGTGCGTTCATAACGTATCGTAGTTTTTCCGTACTGTTTACGATGCCTTGAACCCACTTTTCAATTATTAAAATAGACTGGTGACAGCTTTCGGTTTCTTTTCTCCCAGCGGGCCCAAGCCAAAGCCATGTTGTGTTAAGGATGGAATGCAGTGTTGTTCTTAATTGCTCTGTTTGGGGATTTACTTTTTTGGAAAATGTCTTCTGTACAGCTTCATGTAGGCTACGTGTTTATTGCTGTCTGAATTCCTGGAATAGAGGTTTTCGGAATAGGTGCACTGTGTGAGATGTCATTATGAATTTGACTGTATGCTTGGTTGAGAGAGTAAAAAATCAAACCTATAGAGTGCGCTTTGTCAACAATGATTGGATGATAAAATATCCCTTGGCAGTGACTCATATGTCCTAGCCTTTCTTATCAGCCTCTGTTGTACTTTAGTCACGTTCTTACATCCGTAAACGCGACAAAGTTCATTCAGGGAGGAGGAACGTCACCCGTGTGTGTGTTCCATAGGGCGATTTCAGTAAGCCTGTTAGAAATGAATCACGGGCAAATGGATTCTACCTCATATCGTATCACGGCTCAATCAACAAAGATGAATTGTATACACATTAAGCACAAATATGTCTGCCTTTCATAGAAACAACAATCTATGAAATTAACGGAGAAGTGTTGAACTTAAAACAGCATAGAATCCAGAATACGCAATTGCACTGGTCAATTAACAAGGCACTGGATGAGAATCAGATGTAAGCGACTTAATATTGCAAGAACTATTCTTCAAACAATGATGAAAATTATATTATATGTCATCAGTGCATGTACCAAAATTTGTTGAGATTGAGCGAGCACTTTGGAAATTAAAAGTGAATTAAGTGCAGCGCACACATATTAAATTCGATGAAATTCAGAACATTTTGCACACACTGTAACATCGGCACATATTGTCGCATTGAGATCGGCTTTTCGCACACAGAGAGGGAGAATCTTGCTCTTTTTTTATTGTATGGAATAATTTGTGGTTAGAGTGAGGATACTGCCGATAATTAGTGTAAAAAGTGTCGATTACGCCATGACCTGCCCGCCTGTAGCTGATGCGCAACGGAGCGGCCAGTGACCCCCGCGTAACCCGGCACGGAGCGGTTCCGATGGTGATTTAATGACTTCCAGATGTCGCTGGCCTGGGAAACTAAGAGGCACGATTTCAGCCAGTTTTCGGCGCTGTGTGGTGCTTATTGATTCTGATAATTTATGTTCACCATTTATTAGGGCCACCGTGATGGTTAGTTTTCAGTTTAGTAAGAGTTTTGCGGCACTCGCACCTGCATATGGTGATAGTTAGGTCTCAATTAGAATACCTCAAGTTTATAACATTATAAAAAAATCTCTTGTTGTTTTATGTCTCTTTCAGAGTGTTTTTGGGTAGGCTACTGAACCAAAGAAATGATGTCTTCTGACAAAGAAAGTAAAGGAGGAAATACGTCTGATGACAACACCCCGACCAAGCGTCACAGCCCAAGATGTGTTCCTGTCCACCCGAAAGAGTTCCCAGCCAAAGCGCAGCTGGAGAAATTGTTTGTTGAGAATACCGTCGCCATGGAGCCAGACGTCCCTCGCCGATGGCTGGAGGGGGATATGTTGTGGGGGAAGATCAAAGGATATCCTTACTGGCCATGTATGGTGTCGAAGGATCCATTCTCAAAACTTTCTGCAAAACCTACAGGTAGGAGAGAGTATGGTGCCAGTATTGTAATTGTTTCACATCTCTTTCAGCACTGTAAGTAAGGCTTCTTTAGAGGCAGGACCTCTGAATTTAACATCTATCAGCCAAGCCTGGTATGTGGAGATCCTTTACAACTGCTGGACTGACCCAAGTTTGAGGACACCCTGTTGGGGATTTGAACCAAGGTGATCCACTCTACATCCTAGCATGATACCGACTAAACTAAGGAGCCTAATGGCACACTTATGAGGGGAGTAGTTATTTTAAGAAATTTTAATGAAAATTTGAAAATACGTGTATTTTGTTTGTTATCAAAATTTCAGTGTGAACTCCTATGTTGTGTGATCTGAAACGTATGGGGGTAGATGCATCAGTCCAACTACCAAGAAAATTCTGTTTCAAAGTCTTTCCATGATGCTATTTGACAAGAGAACCATAATAACATTTTTAGACAGGAGAATATAGATGTTCCTTTCTTTTTTTAAAGACAAAAAAATTGATTTTTTAGAATCCTAACTTCCGAAAAAAGATTTGGTGATTCTTCATACTTGGAAAAATAAAAAAGTATATACCATCAAATTGTTATATCTTCCAAATATTGTATGCTTTGCAGGGCCAATGAAAGCTTTCTGGAGCTACCACGTCCAATTCTTTGGTGCTGATGCAGAAAGAAGTTGGGTCAATGAAGCTTCTGTACTAGTCTTTGAGGGTCGAGAGAAATTTCTGGAAATTGTTCAGTTTGGATTGGAGAGTCCTTCTAAGAACTGTAAGAACCCAGATTGTTTCAGAATTAGCACAGCGTGGTTCCCGATGTGGAACATGGCTGTGGCTGAGGCAGAGGCAGCTTTCAAACTGTCTCGTGTGGAGAGGGTGGAGCAGTATGCCTTCAAGTATATTGTGATCCAAGGAGATAAGGAGAGACCAGTGGACAAACTGTTGAAGGCAATATGGCGGCGGTGTGGCATGAAACACACAGATAATGACCAGAACATAAGCGAGGGTGCTGGAAGCGATAGTGATAGTGACGGAGATGAGTTTGGGTATAGAGAGAGAAAGCAAAGAGCTGTTTACGATTCTGATGACTTCTACAGTTCAGACGAGGAATCGTCCTGTGAGGCAAAACGTTGGAGGGTGCCTGTCATCATCACCGTGAGAGAAGGTCAGTTTGACGTATTTCTGTCGACGCATACCCGCCACATACAGTCGGCTCACGCAGCATGGAGTTCAGCAGACGTGAAAGAACATCTGCGACAACAGTGGTGTTTGATGTCTCGTCTGCAGCGGAGCAGGTATGTGTCTCGACATCAGAAGCCTGTGAGACGAGAGGTGCGGCGGTACAGACAACAGGTCAGTGTGTTCAAGACTTGAATTCTTTGTTCCTTGCCTTTTTTTTTTACTTGTGAAGTCAGATATAAATATTGTCCTCTTGAACCTATGTTTTCGGCTTTTTCTATTCACAGAATGATTTTTTTAGACCTACCTTCAGTATTATCAGTCAAATTTGTGTCACTTATTCTCTGCCTATGCAGTTCATTTTTTCAAAATAAAAAATGTGTTGTGATTCAAAATAGCCTTTGAAAAAGAAAGAATTTAGTCTACTTTCAGATTGTTCATGGACAATGTGATGAGTTTTATTCTTTGTTTCCTAACTGTATGAAGCCTCAGATGTCATATTAAAATTGTACTTCTCTGATTTTTCCCCTTTCGATTCACTCTTATTGTGTAGGCCTACTGTTTCACAGTAATGGTAAAAAGAAAAAGCAGATGAAGTGGAGAAATAGTATAAAATAACATATGCATACACACACACACACACACACACACACATACACACACACACACACACACACACACACACACACACACACACACACACACACACACACACACACACACGTCACACTAACAATGCACATATATATGGCATAGTGGCCAACACCTTGAGGATAAAAGTTGGCAAACGATAATTTACCTCTGTTATCCTGAGGCACCAACACTCAGGTTTACCTTTTAAAAATGCAATTTATTGAAGAAAATACCATGGTTTCAAACAATTTATTAATTCTAAAAAAATAAGTAAATAAACACATCATGCTCAACAAAAACGTTTCCTTATTACATGTACTTTCGTATAGATTTAACTGTGCCAAATGTGAGCCTTCTGCGAATGTTTGAACCTGCACCCAACAGGATTGTTGTTTTTGTGACTCAATCAACAAATGAGTGGAATTATGTGTGCATGAATAGCAGCAAAGCTTTCTTGAGTGGCATGATGCCATGGCAAATTAAATGATGTAAAGAAATCGCTGTAGACATGTAATCTGTGTAATTATGATACATAACATTGTCATAGATTAATAGTGATGGTAAACTTTTTTTCATGCTTTATCTTGCAGTCAGTGGAGATCTTAGAAGACACTGGTGTATTGGACCCCTTGACCCTTGACCTCTGTGTCCTGAAACTGTCTATGACCTCTGTACTTTCTGCCACTGACCTGCCCATCTGTGTGGTGTGTGCGGGCAAGGATGATGTGCTGGAGTGTGAGGGTCTGTGTGGGGTGTTTCTTCATGCGAGATGTTCCCGAAGTGGGGATGGATCTGTGAGGTGCTGCTACTGTGACTCTGGTGAGGAGAATGCGATGGGAAAAGGGCTTAACAATAAATTTATTTGTTGGTCCGTAAAGCAAGTTGTCCTCCTTTGTTTTAATAGCCTTTGAAGCAGGTTTAGTTGTACAGTCGAACTTGCTCTAACAACCACCTGTCCATGCAAATAACTAGTACAAATGACTACTCCTCCTTGGTTTTTTTTTATACTAAAATGACAGTCTCAGAGGACCACTTATGATGACCTTTATTCGCCTCGACAGTTAGTTGCTGTCAAAGACAAATTTGACTATTTTGAAAAACGCTTTTAATTGAACGATCATACCAGTTGCCCGTTGCATAAATATAATAATGTCTTTGCAAAATTTGAAAATTGCCATCGTTGTATTACAGATGAGTGCTCAATTATATTCATACATTGTTATGTACTCCCCCTTGTGATCTACTCAAAATAATCCAAGCACAAGTCAGGTTATTTTAAGATATTCATGCATATTATTCGAAAACATGAGAAAAATAAAATCCCCAGCAGTGCTTTACCATCCATGGCACCAAATGAAATTCAAAGGTTAGCAGCAGTTCTCCATCATCTACATAATTATTTTTTTTAAAAGTTAAATAATAATTGGTTCTTTTGAGAAAAGAGAAGTACATTGACATTGTATTGATCCTTAAGTAAGAGAAGGAAAAGACAACTTAGGCTAACAGGATCAACTGAAGGAAAGGCAAGAAGTAGAACCTAATAAAAGCTTCTTCTAACCATCTTGAGTACATCCCAAATATATATATTTTTTTGCCATAGCAGAATGACATACTGCATAAAAGTCACCAGATCAAACTCTAGGACATCTGAAAAAAGGTTTGTTCCGAGATGCTTTAAATTCTAAGAACAATACCTTAAAGTTTATGATTTATTTTACCTTTAGATGATTCCTTATCCAATCTCACTCCTTTCCTGGTTTTACAGACAGTCCAGTGTGTTTTTGCTGTCAAGCATCCGATGTTAATCTAAAACAGTGCGATGACCAAAGCTGTGTCAAATGGTACCACGAGGAATGTGTTCAGACCCTGAGACACACGCGTGCTAGACAAGGCAGCTTCGCATGTCCACGACACTTATGTCACTCTTGTGAAGTGAGCTGCTCAGAGAAAAACCAAGTGTCCATTGGTAAACAAAGGCTTTTTCCTTTTTCAAATGTTCATATGATTGATATCAGTTTTCACTTTAAGAATTCTTTTTAATAAATGTCTCACTGTAGGCTATATCTTTCCTTCTTTCTTGTCTCGTGGTGTTTAAAATAACTGACTTTATAGTCTCTAGTTTTTACTGCTCTGTCCTTCACAAAATGTCTGCCTCTTGCTTACAATTTTTAAAAATTAATGTTTATCATCAGGATAATGCCTTAGTAATGATTGCAAATGTATTTCATTCCCATTGACACGTTTCAGATTGTTTTGAAGGTGAACTTCTTTGACCCTGCCTTTTGGGGCCAACCTTGGCTGAGAGGGATACAGCTCTTCAGCAGAAAGTTACTCCCTAGAATAATTTCCCCACATGGGAATCGAACTCACTGTATTTACAAGCAATGGCCAACCTCTTGAGCCTGCAGAACCTATGCATCTGAGGTCCTTTGGACTGACTGCAAGATTTACATCATGTCTAGTCACAACAGAGCTCTGTCATGTTGTTTCTGGTATGGGTAAACATGACTTGCTCAAGGATATATTATTATGAGCACACATCTAAACATAATTGAACTAATACAGCATGTTGTTCTTTGAAGATTCTTAAGGTTCTCCCATTGCTCAAATGGTGGTGAACAGAATTAACAGTTGTGAAATACAGTGGAATCCACTGAAACTGAAATCTGTGGAACCGCCAGATTTTCTTTTGTTTAGGCAGGTTTTTTGGTTTAGAGAGGTTTCTCAAATCAAGGAAAGAAATTGGAATTTTTTGTTTCTTTTGGTTTTTCTCTGTTTTAAAAAATTAAAAGTGTTCGGTTAAGACTCCACTGCATTTCATAAATCTGTTCATTTCTCATGATCCCTTGTGTTTTGCCCCC